CGAGCCAGGCTTTCGGCCCGGGCCTGGGCTCCACGCCCGCAGGTCGGAGCAGCGGGGGCGCTCGCCGCCAAAGCGGCCTCGCCTTGCGGGAAGAGCGACTGGCGCATGCCTGCGCACCCCGGCCCGGCCCGCCGCCGATCCCACGGAGGCTCCTCGCCGAAACCGAGGATCCAGGCGACCCGGTCCGCACGACAGTAGCCGGCCCTCGCCCGCAGGCCCCGCCTCCCGACTTGGAGGTCTAACGACACACCGCGACGGGCGATACCGGCGTGCGCCACCGAGGAGCGGGCTGCGCCTCCCGAGAAGGCCGCCGCCCAGCCTGCGAGACGTGTGAGCCAGCACTCGCCCGCCACGCTTGCTGCTGCAGCCAACCCCTGGGCAAGCCCACGTACACAGACCATCTGTATCAAGGGAACGCTCACGGGTTAGCCGCCATAGTTCGTCCAGACTGGAAAGCACAGAGAAAAAGCTCTGAAGGTAGGAAAAAACAGAGGGTCACCCCTCCAAAGAGGCACACTAATTCCTCAACAACTCCCAACCCAAACGAAATCCCTGAAATGTCAAAGAACAAATTCAGAATATTGATTATAAAGAAGCTCAACGAGATGCAAGACAAAGCTGATAGCCAACACAAAGAAGTCAGCAGAATAATTCAGGAGGCAAAAGGAGAGATTGACAACAACAGCAAAAAAAGAACTAAAAAATTCAATGGTGGAGATACAAAACACAGTACAAAGCTTTGGCAGTAGGCTAGAATAAGTGGAAGAAAGAATCTCAGAGATGGAAGACAGGCTCTTCAAACTTACCCCGTCAGACATAAATAACAAAAAAAGAATTAGGAAGAGTGAGCAAAGCTTATGAGAAACATGGGATTATGTAAAGTGAGCAAACCTATGGATCATAGGCATTCCAGAGGAAGAAGAAGTTAAAAGGAAAAGTATAGAAAATATACTCAAGGAAACAATTCAAGAAAACCTCCCTGGTCTTGAGAGAGACCTAGACATCCAGATACAAGAATCCCAAAGAACTCATGCAAGATACATCTCAAGAGGAACTCACCAAGGATACAGTTGTCAGATTCTCCAAAGTGAATATGAAAGAAAATATCCTAAGAGAAGCAAGACAGAAGTGCTGAATCACTTATAAAGGAACGGACATTAGGCTAACAGTGGACTTCTCAGCAGAAACCCTACAAGCCAGAAAAAGAATGGGAGTCTTTTTTTCAACCTTCTTAAAGAAAAAATGCTAGCAAGAATCTTATTTCTGGCATAACTAAGTTTCATCAATGAAGGAGAAATAAAATCCTTTCCTGATAAACAAACACTGAAACACTAAACCAGTTCTACAAGGGATGCTCAAAGAACTTCTAAACTTGGAAATGAAACAGCGACTCTTGCTATCATAAAAGAATACATGAGTACAAAGCTCACAGAGCCTACAAAGCAACTTCACATTCAGATCCCCATATCAGCTAGCTCACAATACTATGGCAGGAACAAAACCTCACGTATCAATATTGATCCTGAACATAAATGGTATAAATACTCCACTTAAAATAACCAGAGTGGCAAACTGGATAAAAAACAAGACCCAACCATATGCTGCCTACAAAAGACCAACCTACTGGTCAATGAGAGTTACAGATTCAAAGTGAATGAGTAGAAAAAGATGTATCAGGCAAATGGAAGACAGAAACAAGTAAGAGTAGCCATCCTCATATCAGATAGCTCAAAACAGTAAAAAACAACAAAAGACAAAGAAAAATATTATATAATGATAAATGGTACAATTCATTCTTAAATATAACATGCACTGAACATTGGAGCACCCAAATTCATGAAGCAAATACTACTTGACCTTAGAAATCACATCAATAGAGATACCATAAAAGTCAGTGACTTCAACACCCCACTGACATCACTAGACAGATCACCAAAGCAGAATTTAACAAAGAAGAACTGGACTAGATCAAATGGACCTAATAGACATTTACAGAGCATCCATCCAACAATTGCAGAATATACATTCTTCTCATTTCTACATGGAACATTCTCTAAAATAGGCCATCTGCTTGAACATAAAGCAAGTCTCAATAAATTTAGAAACATCAAAATTATACCTAATATCTTTTCAGACCACAGTGGAACAAAACTAGAAATCAACACTAAGAGGAGTTCCCAAAATTACACCACTACATAAAAAATGAACAACTCAGGAGGCAGGATTGGCAGCAGTGGGAAACTGCTGAGGTAGGGGAAACACACCTCATCAATAAGGGCACCTGCATAATGAACATTTGTATACCTAACCCTGAATTGTATCCCACATCTTTAAAATTAAAAAAAATTTAAGTCGGGCTCAGTGGCTCAGCCTGTAATCCTGTGCCTTTGGGAGGCTGAGGTGAGTGGATTGCCTGAGCCCGCGGGTTCAAGACCCGGCTGGGCAACTTGGCGAGACCTCATCTCTACAATAAATCAAAAAATTAGCTGGGCGTGGTAGCGCGCACCTGTAGTTC